GGTAGACGCGCCCCCAGCCATAATTTACGAGGCAGGAGGAGAATCTGCCCTTAAAGGGGCTACCGGCCATGGAGTCCCCTCTCTGACCGTTTCCCAGACTGGTGACAATGAAGGAGGGGGGCGCTGCAGCCCCCCACCCAACTCCTTTCTCTCTTTTCCCCATCCGGCCCCCAAACATCACCCTTTGTCTCCAGACTGGCAGCCTCCGCCTACGGCTGAACCTCTGAGCAGAGGGCGGGGCACGTCTCTAGAACCAGCTGAAGTCCTGAGAGTGTCTTCTCAGAGTGGCAAGGCCTTTTATCCATAGACACCTTCACACCCAGGTGGGCCCAATGGATTCTGGGCTGGCTTTGGAGAGAGGAGCAATGAAAGAGCCCATCGACCTTCCTGCACTTCATGCTTTCTTCCTTTCCTTTTCCCCAAAGAGTCCCCCAACTTCCCATCTGCTGTCCTACCCTTGCCAGGAGCAAGGAGGGTGAGAAGCAGAGCATTGATGGGAGTCAAGTGCAGCCAGGCCAATGGGAAACTGGCCTGCTGGCTTGGGATGTTTCACTCAAAGAGTGTCCCCTAACAAACCCTCCAGTGGCAATCCACACAGCCACCACTCTCTCACCAGCACACAACTTCAAGTCCTGTACAGGACTGTGCAGAGGTGCAAGCAGTATGCGTGGAGGAGCCAGCATGGCCCTGGACCCACCCCTCTTCCTGCTGCCTTTGCAAGCAGCAGTCTCCTCCTCCCCACACAACCCTGCAGAGTGGGGATACAATCACAGGCTTCCACCCCCACTGGGCACCTGACATCTGACACTGCCCCACCCAGTTTCACTTGTTTTACCCACTGTATAAGTTCCTAGAATCACAACAATTCTAGCTATGTGCACAGTCTCCCGTGAGCTTGCCCTGGGTATGAGGCACTCCGCCCCCTTAACAGGTCACTCGGTGTACCCCCTTATGCAGCCTTTCCTGTGACTTCAAGGGCTCCAGGGTGCTGGATTCAAGCTCCACAACCCCAGCCCGACTCACACAGTCCAATAGAGAAGAGAGACAAGACCACTCTAAACGAGTGGGGGGACAAAGATATGCAATATTCTCTTCGCATTGCTTTAAACTTGACTTCTGTGAGCGTTTCTGTTGATCTGTGTCCTGTTCTCTGTGTCTGTCGCTAGTACTTAGTGTAGTTCCCGTGGGTAGCCAGTAGCCGTGCCTCCCTCCACTCCCTCCCCAGTTCTCTGTAGTGTACTTGCCTATTCAAACGTCTGTCTTTAGCACGTTTTCCCTTTATATAGCCCTTGTACAGAGTTGCTTCATCATATTAATATTAATAATAATTATTAAAACATGGATGTATGATTATGTGATTATTTTTAGAACAAAAATTTTACCCAGAAAGAATGGGAGCCCCAGCCTTCTAGCTCTTCCCCACTTTATTTTCTTCAGCTCAGGTGAATAATAAAAATAATAAATGCATTAAAAAGAGTGGTTGCAGGTGCAACAAAAATGTATGAGCAACCAAGATCTGTTGATGAGCTGCCATCTCCAGTCCTAAGCAGTTACTAGCAGGGAGAAAATTGGGGGGTGGTAGCTTAGGGGCAGGAGAGGGAGCTCTGAGGAGTCATGGAGCCATGAAAATAGTGTGGACAGTTTAGAGGAGGCTGAAATCAGCTTCAGAAAAGAATGTCTGCACTGCAGGAACTTCAAGAGTACAAACTGGGCAGGGTCATTGGTCTGAGCTAGGACAGGAGGACAGTGAGAGTGAGCTGGGAATGGGATGGGGCAGGGTTGGTGGTGTAAGCTTCAACTCAGTAGTCAGAATTCTGTGGCTGCATTCTGAGAGGACATCTTGTGCATTGCACTGAGCAGCTCCTCTTGGAGCTGGTGAAAGAGACATCACCTTTGGAGCCAGGGGTCCCCCCTTTGGACCATGACAGAGAGAGGCTCAGGGCCAGGCCAGTGGATGGTCCAACTAGCCCATGTGCCCTCTACCCCTCCCCCCCTCACACTACAGAACCCCCTTCCTTTGCCTCCATCCCTGCACCTCTGGTCCCACTCCCCAAGCTACCCTAGCTATCTGGCTCCAGTTAAGGGAGTCTCCTCCAAATTTCTCCTCTACCCTCTCCAGGGAAGGTTGGAATACTGGAGGCCAATCTCTAAACTACCCTGAAATCTTCCTTTATCTCTCCCTTCCTTTCCTTATCCCTTTAATTAGAGAAACTATGGAATTTAAGCCAAATCCCATTCTCCCTTTACCTTTAATCCCCAGCCTTGCACAGGGATGGGGTGAGGGCAAGATGCACATACAAATCCCCCCCAAGCCACCCCTACTTTCCCCCCAAAGTGTAGAAAAGGTGGAGGCAGGCAGCTCTGGCAGTTATTAGCTGAGAAGCAGGGTGGCTGAGCCTGGGTCTGAAGAAAAGGGGAGAGGGGGCCTGAATCCCAGGGAATCCAGGCAAAGACTATCTAATTCTTAAAATATGCTTATGCAGGAAGGGTCAACATGAGAGTCATTTCTGGACAAAGAGAAAGGAGGGAATTTAGGGAATAACTGGCCCTTAATTTATTCTCCTGATTTATTTCCAGAGACTCTCAATCTGAGAAAGAAGGCACCTTGTTGAGTGGTGTCTACACGGGCTCCAAGACTCAGTAACTGGGGAAGTTGTCATAGAAGGAAAGACACCATAGCCTCCTTCTCATGGCTAAAAAAATAATTCATTTGGTCTCCTGGCCAGAGAGGAGGGCACGACTGGAACTCAGGGCACAGCAGAACCCAGAACCGTAGACCTGAGTGAGGACTGCGTCTACGTTGCCACTATTTGTCTAGTTCAAGATCTCAAACTGCAATTTACTCCGCTGGCTTTAAAACAAAGCAACCATGTCTCTAACTGGGTCTTGAGGAGCAAGAAAGGGGAAAAATTACCTGGATAATTTAGCTAGAAAATAATTCAGCTGTTGTGCGTGTGTAAGCTTGTATGTCCTGATGAGTTCTGTATTTGGACCCGATTGTCCACGCAATGGTTCTGCTCCACTCTGACCTGCTCAGACCAGGCTGGGTATTTAAAGCCACTATCGAGCGGGTCGGGTCGAAGATGGGCCCGGCAGTCGCGGTTCTGTGGATGCTAATGCAGCCGGAAACCCCGAGCGATCAATGGCTCAGACCCAGAGCAGGGCAGGGATTGCCAGCGGATCCGCAAACAAAGCAAGCCCGGGGGACCTTGGGTTCCGGCCAGGCCGGAGCCCCCGCCTACCCTCCCTGAGCCCCCGCCTACCCTCCCCGACACGTCCAGGAAAACAGAGGTCCCAGGCCGCGCGGGAAACACACCCCAAGCTGCCAACTTTCTCCGCAAGGCGGGCACCTGGAGGTGCGGAAG